ATTTTCGTAGTGTGAAAGCACGCTCAATATTCTTCTCCCTCTTTTCAACAGTTGTCACTCATTTACTAAAAATATTAATCTTCACTGTGAATTGAATTAAAAATTACAGATGGTAACAGTGAGTGAAAATTTCTGAAGATGATATGGGTGATGGGCCATTATTTCCTCCTCTCTCGATTAATTCCTTTTTTTGTGGGCATCCTATCTCCTCTATCTCCAATGCTTTAAATGCCTCAGTGCAATAACAATATCATCATAAAAGCTAATTAGTAAAGATTTTCTGTCTTGTTAATGATGTACAATTGATTATGGCTCGAGGACAGAATGAGAGTAACCATTCATCCGTGATGAGCATTGCATTCTATCTTTCTACAATATGTAGATGATGGCATTTTTATTACTGTTTTTCTATCATGTAGACATCTGAAACAACTCACCAATCTGTTTTTTTTTTTCCTCTAGCACCATCTTTTACCACTACCGAACCTGGGCCCTGGAAAAGTATACAGATTATTCTAGATTCATGATTATTGGAAGAATGAGGAAAATTATTACCGGTGGACCAAATGGGAAACAACAATCAGGGCATCACTTCTCCATTCTACCTTTGCTTAAAACTTAAAACTATACTTTTCTCCCATTAAACCATAGGCAATAATTACATTTTACAAATAAATGCTTGATTAAAAATAACTTTAAAGTAACCACTTAAATAACTATAACCCTTTTTTTCCCCCGGCCCTTCTCACACTCATTAATTCTTTATAAATAAATAGATGTAGCTAGACAGTGATTAATGTTAAAATATTTATGTAGAGAAAGGAACATAAACAGAGGCTGGGACTCCCCAGTGAATATCACTTTCCAGGGGATTCTGCCCACCACCTTTCCAATTCCTGTCTATCTTCTTCCCTCTCTGTCTTCCTTCTCTAACAGTTGCCTTCGTCACCTTAAGAGGCTCCATATTCAAAGTCACGTGCAACTGTAGCTCCTTTATTTGGGGTCTGGCCCAACACCTCATTTTTCAAAGGGCTGGGAGTTTGGCTCTTTTCTGAGTTGGTCTGAATTGCACAGCTGTGATGAGAAAAGTATATAATAGGTGCAAAACTCTGCCGGGTAAGGAGTAAGAGTTTGTTATGACATGGCTCTTTCCTCGGAATGTACAGCCCAGACAGTAATTTGGATGCAGTACTCCTTGTTGCTGTTTCCTGACGTGAGAAGATGCCTGCAGATATTCTCCTTGGACTCCCGCAGAAGCTCTGGGGCCTTGGTTCCCATGCCCGAGGGCAGCCACACACCTGGGAAACTGCTCCGATTTGGTGCCATCCTGACTCTATTTGCCCTCCACTCTGCGGGTGGAGCCTGGGCCAGTAAGACAACTTCAGAAACTCAAAGTGTGGAGGACGAAGGGAAATCTGGCTTTTAGAGATTGGCCCCAGACATCTCTGCATACAGCATGCCTTTTCCAAGTGTTTGCCTGGCCATGGCTTCATTACAGCTGGGCTGCTGGGCCAAAAGGGAAGAGATGCAGGGTCGGGTGTGGCGGGGAGGACTGCGGGGAGAGAACAGAAGACAACCTCTTTTTTTTCTCTTCTCTCTCTAGGCCCCTAGAGTGTGATTTCATTAGAAAAACACAAGCTGCCTTCTTTCATCTGTGCCCAAGGGTAAAAGGGTGGGCTTTATGGGGGAAACACCAGCCAACTGGAAAGACTGAACAGAAGGCATGGAATTGGAGGACTGTGGTTTCAACCTTTAAAACTGACATCCTCATAGGAGCACACCAGCATGAAGCTGCGCTCACCACCCAGTTACCATTCTCCTTCGCTGGTGGCTGTACACTGAGCAGAAACTCATCTTACAATTAGGGCCTACCTATTTGGAACTATTCAGCTCACTGAAGGTGAGCTGCCAATAGGCTTGAAGCATTTCTTCCGGTGGTTTTGGTAACTGGCTTTTATTTTTTATTTTTAAATATATTTTTATTTATTTCAGAGAGTAAGGAAGAGGGAGAGAGGGGTAGAAACATCAATGATGAGAGAGAATCATTGATTGGCTGCCCCTTGCATGCTTTCCACTGGGGATGGAGCCTGCAACCTGGGCATGTGCCCTTGATTGGAATTGAACCTGGGACCCTTTAGTTCGCAGGACGACCCTCTATCCACTGAGCCAAACCGGCCAGGGTGGTAACTGGCTTTTAGAAGCACCCAGGGTCTAGCTAAATAGCAGATCAGGAATACAGAAGGTCATCAATGGGACATGAGCTATTTTTACAAGTTACCATCATACTATTGTGAGATAATAACTGCTGCTATATACTCATAACACAAACCTAAAATCTGACTATTCTCAAACTTGACTTATGAGGAGCTTTTCACGGAAATTCTATTTTGTTCAGAACAGGCCTTCACAGTAGAACGCCATGCGTGACCTCTCTTCATAATAACCCTTCTTGTTATGAAGGTAGGTATTTAAATATGTGCTGATAGCTGCTGCTGTTCTGTCTTATATGCTTTAACTGAACTTTTATGGTTTGTACTTCTGCCCTGAGGCAATTTAATTACATAAGTTGCAATTTTATATAAAAAATGATAAATACGTAAATGGTATCCAATTTCCAAAAGAGGATGGCATTAGTGGGAAAGCACAGAAACAGTCTCTCTTTATAGCTCCCTTGTGAGAGCCTTGCCATTCTGCCATACTTCCCTGGAAAAGGCTGTCCCTGGTGGCCTACTAGTATTAAAGAAATCATACATGCTCCCCACTCCCAAACAAACTGAGCAGAATATTACAAACCACACGCATCTCCCCCTGAGGCTGCTACTGTTTACGAGAACATCACATGGTTCTGCCCTTTGTCCAGGCTCCCATCTGAAATCTCTACAGGTTGAATGAAACCTCTTGCCCCAGTGACTCGGATACACTGTTTGCTGATACCATGGACAGAAACAGATGATCTTAAAGGGCGGGGAGTCACCACGCTGTCACCTGCAATATGTTGCCTCTGTGTTCCCTCAGTAATGTTCTCTGAGGCTCTAGCAATTCAAAGATACAGAGTACTCGTACTGTTCAGATCAAGCCACTTCCCCAGCTCAATCTTCCACTCTGTTCAAGAACACAAAATGAAGGTAGAGGCACACGGAGCCTAAAACAATTAAGATAGAGAAGGATGTCCA